CTACATACACGAAATTTACGTACAACAAGCGCTTAGGAAGCATTATGAAAGAAATCGCAAATAAAAAAGTTACAAGAATAGTCTTAAAAAGAGCTCCGAATTTGTACAGAATACTTAGAAATGATAAAGGGATAGTTAAAAAAGAGGATAGGTCAGGTGTATATAAGATCCCATACGAGAATCAGATGTTAGGAATAGATAAAGAATATGTTGGGGTTACTACTAGAAATCTAGGGGTAAGGATAAAAGAGCACAGATATGATGTGAGAAAAGGTTCGAATGCCACAGTATTGTCTCAAATGGCGCAAACGGAGGGTTCGATAGTAAGATGGAATGAAGCAGATATACTGAAACAAATACACTCCCCGACCTTGGCAAAAACGGCCGAAAAATTAGAAATTTATAAAAGCAAACTTAAAGGGAATTGCATCAACGCAAGGGATGCCGAGGGACTTCCTTCCGCATGGAAGTTTGCAGTTAAAAACTTCAAATAAGAGCAGGAGCTTTAATATTATGTATATAAAAAACTCTGTATAGTTTAGTTGAGAAACTCCGTACAGTTTATTAAGCATTATTAATATATAGTGTTATCGATTTGTCTATTAAGTTTGAAGTATTAATATTTTGTATACACAATTTATTTGTTATATTTTAATATTTTATTTTTATTTATAATTTTAGCAGCATTTGTATTAATTATATTATTTAAAAACGTTATTTTGCTGTTAGTAATATATTGGTTATCCGTTATTAATATTTATATTTTTTGTATTTTGAACTTGTTGTTCTATTTTTTGAAATGTTCTAATTTACCTGACGATGATCCATTGATTGGATTGAAAACGTTTGTGTTAAGAATAAATCTCTCAGCGAGTGAACAGGTGTTGATTTAGTTATAGTTTATTATTTTCTGCTGAGCATGCTTTGGGTTTTTTATATTTAATTTGTAATTTCTCAATTAAACCCTCAATTATTTATAATCTCAAAACTATCGAAGATTACACTGATTTAATAAAATTAAAATCTTATGAGTGAAGTGTTCTTTTTATTCTGTTGTAAAAGTTTACAAACTAAACTATTTGCTGAAGTTAGACACTAACTTAAAGCAGTGTTTTTCTATTTTTTTCTAACAGTGGTATTTTTTCCTTTACAGCACTCCTTCTTTATCAGTGTAGAGTTATTGTGATTTTTGTACTTTTAGTAAAATGTCTAAATGTTACGGCACTGCTCGGCACTATATTTTGTGACACTTCTGAAGTGTTGTTGTGGCATCCTGGTTGAAAACCACTGACTTAAAACATTCTAAAGTTAATAGCATTAGTACATTTATTGCTTTATGATACTTTGTTAAATATTATTTTAAAATTTTTATATAAAGAGTTTGGCAAAATTAACTAAAGAGAATAATCTTATTTTTTTTAATATTAGCACAGATTATCCATTTCGAGTGGACGTGCCTATCGAAGAACTGCTTTTAGTTATTCACAATATTCTTAACATTAATCATAAAGTGGTAAGTTACTTTTGTTTGATATTTACTATAATATTTGAAGCATTTAAATGTTCATTTTTCTCACTTAATAAAATATTTGTTTTTAGTTTAATGCGTCGTCTACGATGATATCAATATTGATTTCTGTTTTACCGTCCTTATATTGCTCTGCACTTATGATGCTTAGAGGATTAATTATGAGGTAAGGGTAATTCTATTTGGGAGTAAAGCCACTTACTGTTTTTCCAAACTAATTTCTTTTAAAATTCAATGAGCATGTAGTGTCCAAACTGACATTTTGAACTGATCTGATAAACTAAAATTAATTAATGACACACATTGGTTTGAAAAATATTTTCTGTAAAATAAATGTGTTTTTTTTTAAGTTATTAAGTTGGTTAACATTAATGTCAAAACAATGGCTTAACAAGACAAACTAAGTAACTTGTATTATTTTGTGGTTTACATTTCATGAAAAATAATACTTTAGACATTTATAGAAGTCAGAAAAAGTTTTTATATTGAATTAATTTTTTCAGAATCTACAATACTGTAAAAGATCTATACAGTTTGCTTTATGCAATTGTCAATGCAGAATGAAACTGAAGTAATTGAGAATTTGATACAAAATTGTACAGAATATAAAAACAAACTAAATCTACCATAAGCTGGAATTTTTATGAATTATATATGAGACACATCTTTTCATATGTTTTTGGGATGTCTTTATAGTTCTAATGAACATTTTCAGCTTGATTTACAGGCTTGAACCAGACGGCCTTAAATTAAGTCAAAAATATTTCTTAGAACTGTAAAGAAGTGCTTGAAACGTATTGTATTTTTGCGGAATGACTGGCATGCCGGTCTGTCCGGGGGAAATTATGAAATCAGATATTTCCGTATGGTAAAAACCGGTATGTTGGTTTATCCTGGGGAATGTCAGTTTAAGTGAGGTTATAGATCCCTTTCAAGAGGGCATATTAAAAAAATGAATGAGTTTTTATTCTGAAACTTTGAAACTGTCAGCATTACATCAAAAACTAAAATTATATGTTTAATTTCTTCATTTAGTCTTTTTCTAACAACATAAAATACTCATGGGATGATGAAAGTGGTTTTTTTTACATTTATTGTATTGTAATTTGGTTTTAAAACACAAAATAAGAATATTAAATTTCAGAAGTTGGCTGAAAATTATCTCAACTAATACACTAATTAACATCTGCTTTGTATGAAATTTGAGAGGAAGGTGTTATTTTTAAGGTCGAAGTAAATGGTCAGTGCAACCCACATGACTAACAAGCCAATGGGATGAGGGGGGCAAGATGATATAAATTAATAGAGGATATGAATTGTATGTAGATAAAATAAAAATGATTCATAAAGTTTTAATCATTTACTATGTATTGGAGAAGAAATATCTTAATTAAAACATTTTTTTTTTTTTAAACTTACAAGAAGCCTGAGAAGATTATTTTAATTAAAACTTGGCATTTAAATAATTTTTTTTAATTTATAGGGGGACAGCTGCCCCCCTTGGTGACACCCTTGCTGACTAACTTCTACTACTACTAATGTCAATAAGTCATTAATTGTTTTATGCACTATAAACGAAGACTCTCTTCTAGATTTTAAGTTGGTTAATTTGTAATGTTATTTTATTGTAATCTGAAAAATGTTTTCTTTAATGTTTAATTAACAATTAGTATATTTACTCGCATATAAGACAAGGGCTTATTCATTTATCACAGTTTCAAATTCCTAGGTCAGCCTATACGTGTGAGCGAAAGATTCTTTGTGGTTTTGCAAATAATTTTTGTGAACCTTGTATTTGCATTTTTCACTGGATGCTTACTTTCTTGTATAAAACAAAAGTATTTTATCTGGGTTGTTTGATTCATTCTTGTATATTGTCAGGAGTAAAGATGAATAGCAATAGGAAAAGCAAAGCTTTTGAATTGAATTCCAGATTGAAATTTCAAAATCACACAGGAGCCTGATATGTTTTAATCCATTCCCATGCAAAAACAGACGATTATTCGGAAATCAGAATTTGGAGAAATTCATAAGTGTAATTGATGGAGAGTGGATTAGACTGTTAAGAATTGGCAAAAAAAGATTCTTGATTGTCCGGCTTTACACAAACAAATTATGTTGTCGATTTTACAAGATTTTCCTTAAAGTTTAAAATGCCAGTAATTTTTGTGGGACAATGTGTGCATTTATGTTCATTTGATATTTTACTTGTTTAATCACAAGTAGACGAAGATTAAACAAACATTAAATGAAATAAAATTAGAATTGTATTAATAAATCTAATTTTCTTAATTTTGATCTTTAAAATTACACCTTGTCCTATACGCGAGTAAATATGGTAATTTTTAACATTGATTAATTTTATGTTTTAGTTGCAGTTTAACTGGCATGCCAGTAATCCCAGGGTTTCCGGCATGCTGGTCTTTCCCAGTTTATGCTGCGTAAAACTGGGAAAATATGGTATGAAAAGGTGTGTTTTTATATATAAGATAAAAACAATTGAAATGTGTATTTATAAAACATTTTATTCATTGGAATTATTAATAATGCTCAAAATGTTGTAAAGTCTCATTAATTAACATTTTTCACTGTTTCTCTTATATCAATTATATCTAATTCTATGTATGTCAAGTGACACTTTTCCATTTTAATTATGAAATATGCTTCAAGCACATATTTTACAGCAGAGGAATGACAATACCAAACTTTGCACTTGTTTTCCTGTAAATTATTTTACACTAAATATTTTTTATTATTATTAAATAATTAACTTAAAGAAATTAAGATAATGTTATTTTATTTTTTGTATATTATTATTTTATTAATTTGTAACTGTTTTAGTTCTTGGTCATTAGATAGATTACCAGTGAATTAATCAGTTATTGTATTTTAATTTAGATTATTCATTTTAGATTTCTGATGTGTTATAATTTGTCCAAAATTATAGTATATTTTGGACCAATGCTATAATTTGTTTAAAGCTCAAATATTTCATTTTTAGTTGTTCAAAGTTACTTCTGCCATTCGGTGATAACATTTTGAAGTTCTTAATTGGAGCCTTACAGCATGTAACTTCTGATGTTTGTCCAGTTAGTTTCAGTAAACCATTTAGGTAAGTTTTGTTTTTAAATACCTATAAATTTTAAATTTAAGGGGTAGTAGAGGTCGATGAGATGAGTATTTTTTATGAAGTTAAGATCAGAAAGAAAAATTGGCTGTGCTAAGACCTGCAGAAAATTTGGACATGCAATCTCCTGACTTTTCTGGTGATATATAAAGACTATGGTGTATGAAACACCAGTTGGAAACAAAGGAAGAACTGTCCATCTGTATTGTTTCAGGTTTTTATACTGTTGGAGGATAACAAGTACTCTTTGAGAGAGTGGACAAAATTCAATTTATTGATGTAATCTGTGTAATGAAGTTGGTAGTTGCCACTTCAATTATTTTTCTAAGTACACAGAAATTATCAATAAAGTTCCATTTACTGTACTGTATGCATCCAGTACTCATTATCTGAAAACACACAATAAGATGGAGAAGGTAAGTGTTGAGGCATAATGATTGTTAGCTTCCACACAGATGTGACTAACTTTTCTATAGGCCAAGGATACAAACGAGTACAAAGTCTGCAAGTACGAAGTTTTTCTTCATAAACCTGATTATTAAAGCCAAATGAACTGCCAAATTATCGGGCTATAAGCTTGATGTTTCTATTAAAGCAGTCAAGGTAGACAAATCAAGAATACTAGAGAGTGAAAGAAGTACTACAATCTAGAAAACGAACTAGAAATCTTCCAGTCAACGGGTGAAAAAACACATAACATCTGTCTTCTCTTAAATGCATTAAACACGATTCCACTCATCAATTGAATCGGAAAGGGCATTCTCAGTAGCAGGACTTTTCATTACTAAAATAAGAATTAGATTGAATGATGGTAATATCGACCATTTTTGCTTTTTAAAATCTTATTATAAAAATTTACAATAATATTTTGTGTTATGTTTTATTTAAAAAAATGAAAATTACCTTTTAAGTTACAAGTTTGATCTAAGTTCATTTTTTTTAAATTTTCAATTCAATTCAAAGCATTTTTTTTGTTGTTGTTGTTGTATGCAGTTTCCAGCAAACTTTAATAAATTTTTTCTATTTGTGAAAATTTCTAAGTAATTCAAAGGTAATTTTTAATATATATCTTATACAGCATTATTAATATGATTTTGGAGGTTGCAGAACGTGTTAAATTACTTTAAAAAATGAAAAATAATTATATCATTTGATTTCATGATATTTTGTATATCTTAAAAATAATTAATTCTATCCCGAGATTTCCCGGGATCCCAAAACAAAGTGCCA